CTGAGAGGGAGCCACATTGCGCAGGAGGTTGGTGTAGAGCAAAGCCTCCGGCCAATAGCTGTCCGAGAGGGCGGCATCGTACGGCATAGCCCGCACACGGTCGAGGAGCGTGCGATTGAGCTGCTCCGCTGCTCCGTTCTGCTCCGGGGTGTACAGCGCCGAGTGGGTGTGCGCAGTGCCGCGCTGGTGTAGCCACTGCTCCAGTTGCTCGGCGACATACTCACCACCGTTATCACTATGAAGTGTGCATACCCATGCATGGTTCGGGTGGCGAGCCTCCAGCTGCGTCACCATGTCCTGCAGCACTTTGCCCACTTGGTTTTGGCTAACCAGCGTGCGAACGGCAGACAAACCGGAGGCACCATCCAGCAGTGTTAGCAAGTAACGTGCCCCACCTCGGCCCGTGGTCGGCATGGGCCCGCACAGGTCAGAGTGCACGACCTCCAGTGCATGCTGAGGTCGGTTGCCGCGGCTGACGTGGGCTGTAGCTGTGGTCTTCACGGTGACGCAGGCTTCACAGACGCCGTCGGCCGCCTGATGCAGCACCGCTGGAATGACCCGTGGTCCATGCACCAGCTGCTTGGTGATGAGCTCCTCCAGCGCCCGCTAACCGAGGTGGCCGAACTGGCGGTGCAGGTGCTGTGCTGCTGTGAGTTCGGCGACTGAGCACTCAGTGGCGCCTAGTTGCCCTTGGCCGTTGCTGCTGTTGTTCGGCTGGTCTCCGCCGGCGCCACTGCTGGTTGTGCTGCCATCGCGGGTGCTGGGGGCGTCGGCGGCACTTCCGCCAGCGTCGCCACCTCCGCCGGCTCTGTCTCCCGCGGCGCCGAGCGCGTTGACGGCGCGTTTGGTCGGCGCCAGCAGGTCCACATCCATGACGTAATGCCCGCACTCGCTCCATGCGGTGATAGACAAGCTGCTGTGCGGGAGGCCTACACGCGAGAACCGGCGGCCCGTCTTGTCTGTGCGAACGTGACCGAGCAGCCGCGCGTCACGAGAAGGTCGACAGACATGAGTGTGAGTCCCGAGCTGGGGACATGTAGCACATTGCGCAGCCAGACGGATTCTCCATCGTGCGTCCTAGGAGCAACTGCCCTGTTCCCATGACGTCGGCTAGCTGATTGTTTCCCAACTTGATCTGCTGAGGCGCGCCGACAGGGATGTAATTGTGCATCAAGGAACGGTCACCCGTGAGGTGGTAAGGTGAGCCAGAGTCTAGGACAACACGTGAACTGCTACCACTGCCATCGACGACCAGCACCGTGGCACGGTTCTGGCGTGAGCTTCTTCCGCCACCACCGCCGCCACTGCTTCCACCTGCAGTGTCGCTGCCGTTGCGGCGGCCGTTGCCGCGTCCAACATGGCCGCGTTCACGTGCCCTGTCACCCCCGCTGTTACTGACATTGCCGCTGCCGGTGCCTCCGCCGCCGCCGTCACCATGGTGGTTGCCGCTGCCACTGCTGCCGGCGCCGGCACTGCATGGCTGCTTGAACGCATTGCTGCGGTAGAGACTGACGGACTCGTCCGCTAGCTTAACGGGGCGTTCACGGACATAGTGCCCAGGCTGTCCACAGTAGCGGCAGATGTTGTTGGCCCCCGCGGCGCCCGAGGCGCCAGCAGCACCACGGACTCCTGGTGTTCCTGCCGTCGAATACGGAGATGTTTGCACCGGGCGAGGGCGGGTCGAGCACTTTCCTCCCCCCCCGTCTTGGCAGGTCGTAGCAGTACGGGTGCAGTTTTAGCTTGGGCGCAATCGTGTAGCACTCGGGCGGATAGTGTGGCGCTTCCCCGCTACTCTTTGGATCTTCAGTCGGTTGCGGCCCCCCCCTCATTACTAAGTTGTTGGTGGTGCAGCTGCAGCTCGCGGCTCCTAGTCTGGATCACTCTGCGCGTCTTTTGCAGATTGCTCAGGTTGTCATGTCTCGTGTTGGTGCCAAGACCTGGCAGTCGTATGCGTCGCATTTTGCCGCCTTTGTGTGTTTCTGTGTGGAGGAAGGTTTGGAGTTTCTCCGGGCCTCCCATTATGCCGGGCTCTTGTGGAGTCAGTTTCTCGCTGCCAAGGGCTCCATCCAAGTCCGCACAGCGCAGCCTTATTTCAGTGCTATTATCTCCGTGCATGACTTGCTTGGGTACCCTAAGCCCTGTGTCGGAGACAACACCCTGTTGGCCGCGTTTCGTCGAGGTTGGGAGCGCTTGCAGCACTCAACGGTGCCTGCTTCCGCGCTCGTGTTGGCCTTTAGTGCAGGTGATGCTTGGCATCTTTATGAGCAGTTGGCCGTAGTACCCGTTGGCTCCGAGTTGGCCTTGCCGTTGTTGTTCGTCGTGTTGAGTTTCTGTCTCTTGCTTCGCCCAGACTCTCTGCTGTCGGTAACCTGGGTGCGTGTTGCTGTCGTTCAAGGGGAGCAAGTTGTTCAGTACAAACCCCTCAATTGGAAGGGCCGTTTGGTTGCCCGTTTCCCTGCAGTGGGCTGTCCGTCAGCGTTTTTTGCGTGATCCGTCGCGGTTGTGGCTGGCGGGTCAGTCTACGCGTGGTGCTGAGTGTTGGTTTGACTTAGTCCTTGCAGAGTGTGGTTTGCCTCATATGCGCGGGGTGCATTCTCTCTATAGCCTGCGTCGTGGTGGCGCTTCCGCTGCTCGGGCGGTGGGAGTACCGTTTGAGATCGTTGAAGCGTTTGGCGGTTGGTCTGCCGGTTCTGTAGCCCTCCGAGAGCAAACACAGAAAGTCTGAAGACAGGGAACCGTCGCGGCGACATTTTCATTTACGTCATAGGTAACATATAATGTTAATTAATTAGGATGTAACACGCCTGCTTGGTTCTTGCCGTCTAACATGTGGATGCCGTACACTTATCCGTTATTACGGTCAAAGTATGAGGTGCAGCATACGTTTACAGTACTTCTCCTTGTGTTATGTTGCAGATTACTTGAAAGGAACTGGCTCCAGTTGGCGACTGGAGGAAGCATTTGTTCCCAACTTTCCCGACCTGCAGAGCCCGACGTCAGAAGCTGGCTGAGAGACAAGGAAAAAAAGATTACTAAGCTTAAAAATATGGTATAGGGTTGCCTTAAATTGTCTGACAAACAGGGTGATTCCACTTGGCCGCACACTAGCATTAAGTTTCAAAGATCTCACGCCTGGCTCAGCAAATCATGCAAGCGATAAGAAGCTAGTTAAATACATTAGTAGAAAGTAAAAATCCTTTAAAAAATCGCGTAAAGGGACTCCGTACGCGAAAAGCCGAACGGCCCAGTGCGTACGCGTACGCCTCGGACACTAAGTCCGCATTAGTGGCACACAAATTATCAGGGCCTCAGACCTGCTGATAACTTTCAAAGTGGACATTAACTTCCGAGCGAGAAAATTCATAGTCCGCCATTTCCTTCCTCAAGGCCCTACGCTGGCTTTTGTATTTTCCTTCATCCACAGCCGCAAATTTTAATAGCCCGCTAGCCAGTGGAATTCACAGCAGGACCGGTCGAATTGCCCACACTCCAGCGATTAGCCGACAAAACAATAATGATTTGCGATTTATAAATTACACCCACTCTTACTATAACAATGGTTTGGTGCCTTTAAAGCAACCTGTCGTACGGTTCCGGGGGGCTTAGTGGAAACACCTGTCCACTAGCCGCACACTAAGTCCACATTAAAGATAATGTTTAAAATTTTCACACTAACTTTAAAGTTAGTGTG